CTTCTAATACTCCTCCCCCCTCCCCCTCCTACACTGGACAGGCAGCTGCCTGTCAGGTGTAGGAGAGGAGGTGGGATGCTTACAGCCACTGGGGAGGTTTGCTCAGCAGGATTCCCTTAGCACTGCTGCTGGCCGAGCCTCCCCGATACCTTTAAATACAATCCCTCCCAACACCAGACAGGCCTGTGTATGTCAGGTGTAGGAGCAGGGCCAGGGTATGAATGTTTATGGGGAGATAGTAAAGGACATTTCTAGGAGCCATTTTCATGCGTGCCTCCCTCATGAACCTGAAGAAACCCTAAGTGGGTCAAAAGGGGGAAAATGTGCTCCCCCCTTTGATTCCTATGCAGCTGCCAGGCAGCTGCCTCTCTGCACCCCCCACCTGTGAGGTGAAGCAAAGCTGCTGGCCTCTCTGAAGACTTCCAACAAACTGCCCCCACCTCCCACACCTAGCGGGTGGTTGTCTGTCAGGTGCAGCCCCACCTCCACAGTGACTTCTAATACTCCTCCCCCTCCCCCTCCTACACTGGACAGGCAGCTGCCTGTCAGGTGTAGGAGAGGAGGTGGGATGGCTTCCAACACACTCCCCCCACCTCCTAAACATAACGGGTGGTTGTCTGTCAGGTGTAGCCCCTTCTAATACTCCTCCCCCCTCCCCCTCCTACACTGGACAGGCAGCTGCCTGTCAGGTGTAGGAGAGGAGGGGGGATGGCTTCCAACACACTCCCCCCACCTCCTAAACATAACGGGTGGTTGTCTGTCAGGTGCAGCAGCAGCTGCAGGGTGCTTCAGGCCACGAGGGAGCCTGCCCCAGCAGTAACACCTTAGTGAACCTGCCAGCCCTGCCTCTACAGTGGTTTCTAGTACTCTTCCCCCCTCCCCATCCTACACTGGGCAGGCAGCTGCCTGTCAAGTGTAGGAGAGGAGGTGGGATGCTTACAGCTGCCGGGGAGGTTTGCTCAGCAGGATTGCATTAGCACTGCTGGCACAGTCTCCCTGATGCCTTTAAATTCAATCCCCCCCAACACCAGACAGGCCGGTGTCTGTGAGGTGTAGAAGCAGGCCAGGGTATGAATGTTAATGGGGAGATATAAAATAAAACATACATACATAGAAAGGGTTGACTTCACTTCTGGGTTTTCCCTGAAAGTGATGACATGCTGTTATAACCTCTGCTTTCATGTGCATGTACACTTCATTGCCAGAAAAAATATGGGCACAAATCTGACATCAAGAATCACAAAACTGAGAAACCTGTAGGAGAACATTTCAGCCTCCCAGGGCACTCAGTGGGGGACCTTGAAGTAGCTGTTTTACTGCAAAGGGATTTCAAAAACAGACTGGAATGGGAGATTGATGAATTACAAGTTATTACAACACTCAGGACAATGGAACCCCCAGGGCTTAACGGAGATATCAGGTTCTTATCTCACTACACATATGTAACAGATGACTACTTAAATGGACAGTTCTATGTGGCCTGCTCCAGAGTGAGCTCATCAAGCAGCCTGGTCATCCTAGCACCTGAGAGCAGAACATACATATGGGGACTCTGTGGGCTGTGGCGCAGCGAGGCGGTTGACACTTGGGTGAGCTCCCGAGAATCGCTGACATTTCATGCCTTTAGGGGGTGCTTTGGTTACCTGAGACCCCTCCGACTCTCCTGAAGAGAGAGTCGGTTGCAGGGGACTTGCCCTGATCTCCCCGCAAGTGGCAGCAAGCGGCAGCAAGTGGCAGCAAGCAGCAGCAAGCAGCTGGAAGACCGAGGTTGTCTCGAAGCACAGCGCGGAGCAGCACAGTCATGGAACCATGACTATGATAAGCTGTGAACACCCAATTATGAAAGCTTGAACCTCACCTTAACATCATAGGCATAAGAGAGAACAGAAACTTAACAAATAATGGCTTTGAATTCAGTTAAGCAACTGTTTATTGCTTGATACAACTTTGTGATGAGCAAAGTCCAACTTTTCTGGTCCGCCAAGTGCCAGAGTCTTCCAATGTTTGAAGGAACAAACAATGTTTGAATCGTGAGCGGCTGCCAAGAGACTGGGAAGTTAAAATCCTTGAAATATTCAGCGGGGCAAAAAGGACTCAACTACTGCTATTTGAACATTGCAGTAGACTTAACTGTGATTGCAATAGACTTAACTGTGATCACTATCTGGATTTGAAGGAACAAACAATGTTTGAAGGAACAAACTGGACATCACAAAAACCAGGCTTCAGCTTGAAAAATACAGCTCTAAATTAGCAATACGATTCCAATAACAATACCAGTCATACTAAATTTACCACCCCTTCCCGATTAACATTTCATATATATAAATTTCAGTTACCTTATGCAAGGTGATAAGTGCCTAGAATTGTATCCAGCTCCTCAGCAAACAAACTCTCCCCGTGCTGCTAGCCTTCACTCACTGACTCTGCGTGTGCTGGGCTAAACTGATTAGTTCATAGGGTTTACATTGTTGACCAACAGACATTTTAAAAATTATTTTTCTCCCATCAGCCACAGAAGCAGTGGCTGGGGGCCAAGATCCCCTATCCCTGGTGGGGAAATGGCAAGCCTGCCTTAAGTCTGCTTGAAGACAAGAAAGCAATGTCACACATATTCCACAAGAGTGCTATTAAAGCAGGGAGGTAGGTCTCTGCAGGTTTAGGATGCCACTAGGCACTGTCCATCACAGGCACAACTTCTCGATCATCATTTTGAAAACTGGTCTTTGTAGAAAAGAAACCCCAGCAATGCACATCAACATGGTACAGAAGTATAGTCCCCTAAATACAGAGAATTTCAGGATCCAGTATGCCTGTGTTGCTAGCCATGCAGACACAGTGCATAGCACACAAGTTGGCACATGTAGGTTATAATATATTGTTATGCGGTACATTGCCAGATATGGTGTGTTAAATCCCACATACATTTGCATGTGACAACAACATACCCACACATGGCGATCTATTGTTTCAGTGACCCTAGGTGAATGTTGGGCCATTGATATACAGTTCAGAAGAACAATGCTGCAGCCCAAAGCAACATGGGGAAATGAAGCAGTCAGATGTAGGAGCATACAGATGCAGGCTTCCCTTTGACATGTTCAGGTTTGTTCATTCTGTGGCTGGATGGTGAGAGAAATCTCCTAGTATTCTTTGTACGGTGGCAGAAGCTGCATAATATGCCTCCTCCACTGATCAGGAATGCTGAGGTTGTCCAGCCTAAATAGAGGGCTTCTCCCAAGTCATATTTCTGGGAATTCGGGATTGCCGGATTGTAAAAATCCTGGATGATGATGTGAGCAATCCAGGAAACAGGAATGAGCACAATAATCCCAGTCAAAATAAAAATTATTCCAGCAGCCAATAACATCTTGTTCTTGGTTTGCTCATTATTGCCAAGACATTTGAAGCACTTCATGCCAGGAATGGCAATCAGAAAGGCAATAACTGATAATGCACATGCAGTGCACATGATCCCTCTGGATACTCCTAAAGAAAGTTCAAGAGCCAGTGTTGATTTATGGTTTACGCACACACGGACACCATCCATACGACTGATACAGTTCTTCCACAGGCCTACCCAGTGAATTTCGAAGAGTACAATAGTATCTCCAGTGAAGGCAGTTACTTTCCACTGGGGCATCAGAGTGACAGCAAAACTTCCAGACACCCCAATGAGTCCAAGCACCAACCCCAGAATTTCCAAGGCACAGCAGGCCATGTTCGTTTTCACAAAATCACACTCAAACAAGAAGTACCCAGGTATACTTTCCTAAAGAAGGTCTTGCATTCAAAAGAAGAGGACGAGAAGCTTTCCCGTTAGGGCTTCCTCATGTGTCCATTTACATCTATATAGCTAAAGAACAAGTAGGAAGAAATCCATGCCTGTCTAGCCTGAGTGAGCTTATATTTATTTGCTGTATAATGAGTCAAGGCCTAACTGTGTAGCCAATCAGAAGCTAAGTAGGGGTGTGTCCAGTCATATACTGCCTGATATAATTGCTTTCTTGCATAATAAATGATGCAGATACACTATAATTAAATAATGAGGCTATAATTCCCAATAAGTGTGTTGATCATTCTACAGAAATAATAATTGCATCAACTTTAAAATACTGTGTATTATTCAGACTTGAGTCTCTGTCTTGTAAAACAAAAGTCACGTAAATATGCTTAGTTGCAATAACTGGTCGATGACAAATTCAAATATGTGTTACTGTTGCAAAGGACCAAAGAATATGAACTTTTTAAAATGACACATCCTATACCTGCGTCACAGCGGGGGGCTCCAGCCTGACTCCTGGGGTCTTCTGGTGCACATGTAAAGCATGTGTTGCAATGACATCACCCAGAAGTGATATCATCGCACTGGGCACGTTGTTCAGGGGATGCTCTAGCATTTGGGTAAAAAACTCTATGGTCTTTTTAAAGGGTCTTTTTGCAAGCCGAGTGTGCAGCCCATGAGTGCCCCTCTCCCTTCTTCCTGCTAGATTTAAAGTGCCCTCCAGCTGGTCAGCGGGCCATGTGGTCCCCCCCATCAACTGAAGCCCTTTAAATTGGGCAGGAGGGGAGGGGTGGAGCGGTGGGTGGTCACTATTGGGGGCAGGGCTTGGGGCATCACTGCCCACCCCCAGAACACCCTCTAAATCCCCCCACTGGAGTGATGAGGGGACCTGGCAACCGTGTGAGGCTACCAGTGTAGTTAACAAGCAAAGTCAGGGAAGCCACAAAAGGCAAGAAGGTTTTCTTTAAAAAGAGAAATCTTGCAAACAGTGAAGCAGAGTAAAAGAAGAGTATTGTTAAAACCCCTGTTCTGGATGGTCCAGGCTAGCCTGAAATGGTTAGGAAGGTAAGCAGGGTTGGCCCCGGTTAGTATTTGGAAACAAATATCAGGGGTGCAATGCAGAGGCAGGCAATGAGAAACCCTCTCTGTTAGTCTCTTGCCATGGAAACCCTGTACCAGGGGTAGCCAAACTACAGCTCAGGAGCCGCATGCAGCTCTTTCACACAGTCTAATTTAATGTAAATAAAAAGCGAATTTGCAAATTTTTCAATAAAAATGTGTGTGTGATATTTGTTTATGTCTTGCAGCTCTCAAATAACTGATGTTTATTCTGTGTGGCTGTTACGTTAAGCAAGTTTGGCCACCGCTGCCCTATGGGGTATCCATAGGTCAACTGCAACTTGACAGCAAAGGGGGGGGGGGCTTGGTTTGGATCCAGCACAAAACTTCCACTTGTACTAGAGCTCTTGTACCCGTGGAAAAGCAAGAAAAAGATCACAGCAACCACTTGCACCAATTCAAACTTATTCTATCCTTACTTGCATATCCATTATCCCTAGCAGTTTCTTCATTCTCAAAATGGCTCCTCATAGTACGATATGGGAGAGGGAGATTTTTCCACAAGGTCTTGCATGCGTGTGCCATTGTGTATATGATCAAACTAGAAGAGAAGAAGAAGAGAAGAGACTGTATTTATACCCTGCCTTTCACTCAGAATCTCAGAGTGGCTGACAAACTCCTTTCCCTTCCCCTCCCCACAACAGACACCCTGTGAGGTAGGCAGAGCTGAAAGAGCTCTTTCCAGAACTGCCCTTGGGGGAGCAGCTCTGACAGAACTATGGCTTGCCCAAGGTCATCCAGCAGCTGCAAGTGGAGGAGTGGGGAATCAAACCCAGTTCTCCATGCACTTAACCACTACACCAAACTGAGAGATGTTGCACAAGAACATGTACAATCCCTTTCACAAGTTGATTTCTTTTTCTGCTTGCACATTGCTGGATACAACCTGTATAGAAATATTGATTCCTATGAACCCCTGCTGCCCCCTGGAATGTGTCTTGCTGATATCCTGCTGTGTTGATTTCCTGTTGAAGCCAAATAGAGAGGTTCAGACGGCCTCTATTGCCATGCCATAAAAAACATCCCTTCACACATCCATGCTGGAAGCTAGGCCAGCATGCCAGAAACTGCACGTAGCTCATGGGGAGGCTGGAGTTTGGGGATCATTTGACTGCAGAGGGTGTTCCCCAGACCTAGCCTATCCCCCACCCATTGCCATGACAACCCAAAAGTTGGACACCCCCTTCCTTCCCGTGATTGGCTGATGGCCACAGCTAGTCATGATTAGATTGGGGTTTTTATTTGTCTGACCCTTGGAGGAGAGCTCAGATTTTCCTTGCTCTCTCTACTGTTTGAATTCTACCTGGGAAATGCTGTCCCAGGTAGAACAAAGGACTGCTTTGTGAGCTGAAACATGTGCTTGCGAAGATGAAATTCTTGTTTCTCAAGATACCTGGACTCTTCCAATGGACAATATTGAACTCTTGGATGCTACCCTGATGTTGGTAACTATGCTTCTTACTGTTTAGTTAAGGCAAAACTTGCCTAGGCTTGTTACTTTGCAATCCTTATTAGTCTGTGCTAAGTTCTCTACTGAATAAACCTTATTCTTGTTTATAAATAGTGTCTGTATTGTGGTAACTGGACTTTAAGCCTAAAACTTGCAGCCTAAACCGCTGACCAATTGCGCTACCTTGGTAAGATTAACTGCACCTCTGAGTAGAGTTGCTAATGTGTAAAACCCACATGCCAGATGAGATTGTGGATCTCTAATCTCAGGCTGGCGAGGGATTAAATTTAGAGATCCTGGTGGCTATAGTGTTCTGAAGTCCAGAGGGCCTACCTTTCTGGGTTATTGTGTAATGTATTGAGCCAGAGTAGAGTTTTTCCCTCCATCCCTAGACTGGCCTGGGGGGGCAGAATCTATACACAACCGGTTAAGACTAAGTAGCAGGAGACCAACTGGGGGAGCTAGGGTTGCCAGCTCTGGCTTGGGACATTCCTAGAGTTTGGGGGTGGGGCCTGAGGAGGGCAAAGTCTGGGGAGATGAGCAGGCGGTAGTTATTGTGAAAGACCTCTGCCTGGGACCCTGTGCATCATCCACTGCATCAACTGCAGTGGATATGCATTTTGCATATATTACCCAAAGTTTAGGATTACTTAATTGGCTGCCAATCTGTTCCATTTTTAATGCTGTCCCATGGAAAACACCCTACAGTCTGTAGCTGGTATAGTCCACCACCTCATTCTGCTGTATGTGTAGACGAGGCTATGTTTGGGGTTTTTTTTACTGTATACGTAATGAGAAGTGGAGACTGGCTACAGGTGCCTATGACATACAGTGAGTAATATATAGGAGTTCTATGTAGACTGCATAGTTTTGACAAAAATGAGTGCCTTCCATATAAACATTTGGCAACATGGTCCCTTCAGCTCTTGAACTGGGAGGCCAAGCAAACTATAATTCCCATGAACCCTGTCAAAAAGTGTTAACTGGGGAAGGGTTGAGATTGAGAATTGTAATTACAAGAGAGGGTATGCCTCTTCAGGGCCTCTCCTGTGTCTATTTTTTGTTCTGCTGGTTAGTTTTCCACTTATGAAATGGGAAGCATGCTCTCAAGAAGCAGCAGCAGAAATCAGTACCTTATGCCATCTGAGCATGGACAGTTGAAGGAAAATGCTCCCAATGTGAAAAGTACTGAGACTTACTAGTGATTTCAGCTCTCATACTTTATTTCAGCTCAGAACAAGACAAGAGTAGCCAGCTCGCAGGTTGGTTTATATGTGCACAACCCCGCACCCCAAACACACCCACACACAAGTGATTGGCTATTTTCAGTGGCCGAGAGTTCCATAGGCTCTCGGCCGGGAGCCTAGCCCGCCGATAGGTGCCAGCTAGGATCCGCTTGTCCCATTGTTACTGAGAGCGAAGCTCGGTCGCTTCGCATAACTGCGTGGTGAAATGGCCGCCCACGCAGTCTGAGATGGATACATTACACAATGAAAGAAAAATGCTCCCAACAATTGAAGGGAAAATGCTCCCTGCTTAGCTTCTAAGACATCTCCAAGCCAAAGAAGGAAGTTATGCAATCATTTTCCTTTAACCAACCCTCACAGTGTTAGACTGTCTAAATGATTAAAGGATTACAGAATACACACAATAAGTAATCCCCCCCTTTCTTTTTTGGTAGCTCAAGAGTATGCACCAGAACAACTGAAGTTGCTCACATATCACCATCAGTTGTATCTCAAAATATGTAACTAGATTTCTGAGGAACAGCATTAGACCACAATGACTACAAAGTAGATTGCATTTATTTTTCTGTGTAAGGTGTAACCAGGCTCAAGTGATGGGATAATTACTGGTATTGAGCGCGGAGGGAAGGGAAGTAACACATGACAAAGATTAAGATGAGGGATGAGAATCCATGTGTAATGCACTCTAAAAACACAGACAGAGTTCCAAGGAGTTTGGGCTTGGTTTCCACTTCATTTCTTGTTAGCAAATCTTTCAGAAAATAAAAGGGATAACTCTGATTAAGAATATCATGAGGCAGGAGAGGCAGGTCCCATAACTGGGCAGCAGACCAATACATTTTTGGCTAGAAACCTGCATGGATACCACACATAGGCCATTTTTTGCTTTGCTGTTTAGCATTGGGGCTCCACCAGGCTGTTCAATGAGACAGGTATCTGGGCAGATATTCTCCCTGCGAATCAGACTATCCCTGTTTCAGTCCCCACATATGGCATCTTCCTGTTTGAGCTGACATTCCTAGAACATATTCTTAGGCGCAATCCATATATGCAATGAATGAAATGCTAGTTTCTTGAAAATACAAACAAGTGGACACTACATTGCGTAGGAAGCAGTTCCT